ATATTATATTAATAGTCCTTTCTGGATTCCATTCATTTTAATATACAATCTTGTTTCCATCCTTCCTTATAATGTTTCTAGTCACAGAATTTTGGAGAGGGTTTATGTATTGACAGACACATAGTATCTCTAGACACAGGAGCCGGGATCACACTGGGGCTTGGACTTTGAGTAATCTATTAAAATATCCAAAAGATTTCCAAGATCCTCTGGAGTTCCTCAGAGGCCGCTATGGGGTGCGAGATGGGCAGTGGAAAAAAGGTCATATAAGGTTTTGGCCTCTGTCTCCTGTGACGTCCAAGGTTAACTGCGGTTTGTGTGGCTAACATTATATACAATTTTATATACTGGATTTCCTCATAATATTTCATTTTTTTCTAAAGTTTCAGGCTCTTTGAGAAATGCTGGAAAACCCCTGAACCACTTGACCTCTAAGATTTGTATTAGCTTTAATATGCTTTGGCCTCGAAAATCCTCAGAGAAAATGTTTAAACGCACAGGAATAAGGATAATTAGTGTATGTAGAGATAAACCACAAAAAAAGTTCTCAACCAAATCAAGTTGACAGATCTTCATTATGATCATTATGAACTTTTATAGCTAACTTTCTATAGAGAACTCTACAATAAGCCCCAGAGATACACAGATACAAACCAGAAACCCAGCCATGGAGCTTATAAATGAGATTGGTAGAAATGGACTCCCAACCCACTCCCACAGGAAGTCAACTGCAATTACTCTGTGAAACCACATAGTAATTAGCACCAGGATCTGCCCCTGAGAGACATGTGGCCCTTGATACACTTAAGTCATTTGACACCCAACCAGGTTGATAACCATCCTCAGAAAGGCATCTATTTAAAATGTCCATTCAAACTTTGTATGCTCTGACATTGAGCCCTAATTTTTTCAGTAGAAAAATGATTTTTAGTATTCCAAAGTTCACTGTCAAAGCCCTAGAATTTGCCAGCAATTCTAGTATGATTTGCAGGTCAAAAGGTTGGTTTTTGTCCATGGTTCATGGAAATGTGTTATCTTATGCTCATGTCATGCACATTTTAAAAATGCCAGCTAGATTTTGGAGACTTTAAGTCACAAATCAGTCCTAGGTGTTCACTGGAAGGACTGATGTTGAAGCTGAAACTCCAATACTTTGGCCACCTGATGCGAAGAGCTGACTCATTTGAAAAGACCCTTATGCTGGGCAAGATTGAGGGCAGGTGGAGAAGGGGACGACAGAGGATGAGATGGTTGGATGACATCACCGACTCAATGGACATGATTTTGGGAGGACTCCGGGAGACAGACAGGGAGGCCTGGTGTGCTGCAGTCCATGGGGTTGCAAAGAGTTGGACATGACTGAGCAATTAAACTGAACTGAAGACATAAAATTGGAGCTTCACAATTCCTAGAAAGGTAATACAAACAACTTACCTTTAATAATTGTCAGAACTGACCTAAAGATACAGAAATGTTGAGAAAGAACTGTGTCAAAGTTCCGGGCACATTTGACTTTAGTATCTAAAGGATCAAAAATAATACCACCACTCTGGCCCTGTAATTGACTGGATGGAGAGACTCTTATAAGATTTTTCTCTCCCATTAGCAGCTACAAGAGTAAAAGAGGATGTTGGAGACAGAGAGAATCGCTCTTACTCTCTTAACCATTGTCCAGATTTATAATAGGAACTCTAAAGTACCAAGTTTGCTACATGATGGTAAAGAGATATGATTCTAAGAGATTACATGATATGGGTGGCTTTTTTCTCTCTCTTCTCACTCTCCTTACATCTGAAATATTTGAGAAAAGAAAAATACATTTTACCTTTGCCACAACCAGACCTATTTCTGCTGCTGCTGCTGCTAAGTCGCTTCAGTCGTGTCCAACTCTGTGTGATCCCATAGACAGCAGCCCTGCAGGCTCCTCTGTCCCTGGGATTCTCCAGGCAAGAATACTGGTGTGGACCTATTTCTAGTTAGACATAGTCTGACTATATTACCATAATGCACAAGCTAGGGCTGGCTATAATTCATCCACTTAGCCTAAATGTGAAAACTATATTTAAATATGTGCTGATTACATTTAAAATATAAGAATAAAAACTTTGTGTACATAATCCAGAAGCCTAGAGCTCCTAAAATCAAAATTGTTATTGTTGTTGTTTAGGAACTAAGTAGTGTCCAACTCTTCTGCAACTCCATGGATGCAGCCCACCAGGCTCCTTTATCTGTGGGAATTCCCAGGAAAGAATACTGGAGTGGGGAGCCATTTCCTTCTCCAGGGATCTTCCTGACCCAGGAATCGAATGCTCAACTCCTACACTGGCAGGCAGATTCTTTACCACTCAGTCACCTGGGAAGAAGCCCAAAATCAAAATTATGATTATCCAAATGAACACATAGCTTTTTGGCATTTCTGGCAAATAAGACAAACCAATCAGACTAAGAGGAGTATGACAAAAATTAAGAACACATCCCAACTAACATATTATGTGATGACTGAAGTTGAAATGGAGCCTCCAAATGAAATTATGTCAAAAGCATGATAGCAATTCCAAACAATTCTTGATTCTGAGAAAGTACAAAATAGAAGCAGAAAATCTTCAACTGATAAGTTCAATTACATTTAGCTCATTTATTCTAGTTATTGGAATACCAGCCTCAAGTTCATATAAGTGAATTTATCTACTAAATAACTAAATTTTTGACTAATACAAAAGTGCAATTTACTAGGTTATTTTAAATATCTTAAAGCTGATAAGACAGCCTAGTCTTCAAATATAGATGGAAGAGATGACTTGATCCTTCCATTAAACTTTTTTCTTTTTTTTTTTTAATTAGACAAAGCATTTATTTAAAAAATCCATGGGTTGTTGGCAGAAAAATGGGAAAAGAAAACAAAGATCTAATGGGATAAATAGCAAAACAACAAAGTGATAGATTTAAATGGCATCATTATTAATAATTATATTGAATCCATTAAACTTTTCCATAGCGAACAATTTGACAGGTAGAGGTCTACTAGGAAATTAAGTGAGAAGCAGGTGACAGAACAGTCCCACTGGTTTGGCTCAGCTTCTCCTCCTAGTGGTCACAAAGGGGAGGTGCCTGCCATCTGGTGGCATTTCTTCAAGGAATCCTGTTATTTAAACAACACGGAATATTCCTATGAAGAAATACATGATACCAGTGAAAAGTGCTCAGTTTTAATCCACAAGTGAATTTCCAATTACTTCTGCCTCCCACTTAAAGCATCTCCTCCTTTTTAAAAGTTGGCCATAAAACATTTTTAAATTGCAAGGTTGCTGAACACAATCCAAAAGAAACAGTAACCATGCATGTCTAAACCATATTCGGGTGGGCCGCAATCATTTTTAACACAATTCTTTAAAAAAGTGTTAAAGATCATGGTGCATTCAACCACTGCATGGAACTTGACCTGTATTGGCAAACCAGAGAGGATGGGAATGATTCTGGGTTTAGCAGTCACATACTGGGCTACTGCGTCAGCCCAGACTGACTCATAACATGGTTTTCATATTCTCAGCTCCCAGCAAACCACGAAGTAGCCTTTATAAAGTGGTCCATCCTCAGTTGCTCCGTCATGTCCAACTCTTTCTGACCCTACAGATTGTAGCCTGCCAGGCTCCTCTGTCCATGGAATTTTCCAGGCAAGAATACTGGAGTGGGTTGCCATTTCCTACTCCATTATAAAGTGGAAGGAGGAACGAAAAACACTTTTTCATAACAGGTTTTAGATGGTACCCACTCAAGATAACATAGATTGATGTCATTTTGATGAGTGTCTAGTGAGGCTCCCCCTGCCGAAGACAGTGCCCCTTGAACTGGAAAAGAGTCCTGATTCTGGCATGTTCCCCACTAGCCCTCCAGTCACCTAATCTTGTCAATGAAAGGATGCCCTCCTTCTCGACCCCTAAACCTCATCTTGACACTCAAACATGCCAGGTAGTTGACTTTGAACACTTGCAAACCATCAGAAGCACAGAAGTTATTAAGGTCCTGAGAGGCTACTTGTACCTACACATTCTTCCGCTGAGCTGGAAACAACAAATTCCTGCACAGAATGTATACCCTTCCCTTAAATAACTCCCTTAAAAAATCAGAATTACTAAAGTAAGAAAGAGAAAAGAGTATTTGAAGGATTTGCTTCTCAATGACTTTTAGACAAGAGAAACAGAAGAGAAGCTGCTTCAAGAGGCAATTTGTCCTCCGTTCTTCAGGTGACAGGGCATTTTGTCAGCTGTCACTGCTGGACCAACTGAAAGTGTTACACTCAAACTGCTGTTCTCATTAGGACTGAAACCATTTAACATGAAGGCTTGGAGGCACTCAGATGTCACATTGTATTGTTTAGCCTGAGTAGAGGAGGGGAATGCCTGCTAGTCTCATTTAAATAACATTCATGGCATTTTAATTTGCAAAGAAGCAAACCGCTTCTGACTATTCTTTGCCTAACATAATTGAAAATCTATACATTATTATGTCCTTACTTGATTCACTCTTTCCATTCATTTTGTAGCCGGTAAAGAAAACTATACAGCATAAGTGAAAAACCATGTTAGTAGGAAACACAATTTTATATGATAAAGTAGATTTATGTTAGCAAGGTAATTTAAAGGACTTTTCATAAGATGGGAAAGGATGCACACCCTTAAAGTTACAGTTAACATTTTCCACCCCAAATCGAGAAGTTGCCACAAAAGAAGTCACCAGAGATTGTAGCATTCATATTTCTGAATCAGAGGTATTTCTACTTACCGACATTTAATATGACTTTGTACCCAACCATTTTCGTAGACCTGAAGGGTGTGGAAGGACCTCAGAAATTACGGGATAAACCTTTTTTATTTTACTGACATTTAATATAACTTTGTATCCAACCATTTTCATAGACTTGAAGGGTATGGAAGGACCTCAGAAATTACGGGATAAACCTTTTTTATTTCTGGCTAGCCTCACTAAGTAGATGACTAGATGTGCTACACTACTTCATCATAACCTGTGAACGCAGAGGGGCCAAATTCAGTGGAACTTTTCAGTACCACCAGTAAGGACGTTTCAACTCTTATTCAGCCAAAATCTCACTGTTTTCCAAAGAAATGTAGAAAAAGAGATCACCATGCTATCTACCACAGCCTTTTATACACTAAAGCTACTTTCTGTTTCAGTTGGATATCAGTGTAAACCAGCTATCAGTGTACCTTCATCTGGCCATAAATTCTTGGAAAGACAAAAGCCAGGTGTATCTTTATCCACTGCTAAAGTTCTTACTTATAATCAGAAGCCAGATTTTCTCATTTTATGATTTTCATGAAAGTCTAGCATGAAAGTCTCTTTCCACACGAAAAGGAAAGAAAATCCATAGTGTTAACAGTATGGATGAAATTTTGGTCATGTGCTACAAAGCACACTGTACTTTCTCTGGGCTGTACTTGTCAGGCTGGTGAATTCATGTCATTTTAAAATGTCTGTCATCCTCATTGAAATGTAACTGCCATGAGGGCAGATACCAAGTCTGCCTTGATCATCAGCCTTTTCCCTGAGTCAAGATATTCGGCACACAACAGGCTCTTCGTACCTGGAGAACTGACAAATGCCCTTCGAAATCATTCTAGTCCAACACTGCTATCTGGGAGATATGAAAATAGAGTCTGTAAAAGTCATTCTTGAAAGTGATTTCCCTGAGATTGTATAACACATTAATGGCAAAACCAGGGTTAGAACTCTGGGTTCTTTTTTTTTTTCAACTATATTTTATCAAAATTTTGTTATAAGAGAAAATCAATATACCTTATTCAAAAATAAGATTTAAGAATAACCTAAATATACTCAATCCTAAAGGAAATCAACCCTGAATATTCATTGGAATGATTGATGCTGAAGCTGAAGCTCCAATACTTTGGCCACCTGATGAAAAGAGCTGACTCTGGAAAAGACACTGATGCTGGGAAAGATATAATGCAGGAGGAGAAGGGGATGACAGAGAATGAGATGATTGGAAGGCATCACTGACTCAACGGACATGAGTTTGAGCAAGCTCTGGGAGATGGTGAAGAACAGGGAAGCCTGGTGTGCTGTAGTCCATGGGGTCACAAAGAGTCGGACATGACTGAGCAACTGAACAACTCTTTAGGGCTCCCCCAAAGTTCTCTCACTTGCCAGACATAATAGCTTCATTTTTTGTTGAACTAATTTACAGATCTACAGCCCATGACCCCAGTGACAAATAAGCAACCCCTTGATCAGGACAGGCTCTCTATCTGAATACAGCAGGGTCTATCATTAAAGCAATCCTACTGGTAGATCCTGATTGCTCCTCCAGAAATGCTGTCATGGAAGAAAGTTCACTATCAGCCATCACCATTAGAACTCTGGATTCTCTATTGCCCATTCACGTTCTCTGCCCATTTCGCCACAGAGGTTCTTTTATCTAAGCCTCTGGGCAAGCAACACAAGTGATTAGTGAGGTACAGAAACCTTTGTTATCTAAACACCATTTGTTTATCTGCCTGGTTCCCAGTGTTGTTTATACGTAGGAACATAGACGCCTTCCCATAAACATGCCTGATCTGTACATACTTTATGTAGGACTCTAAGAACAAAACCCCAAATGGAATTCTACATCCATAGGAAAGAGCCGATTTATTCTCTATGAGGGTCAAGCTTTACAGAGGCCAATCCACAGAAGTCAGCTGAATTTCCATGGTTCAGCTACCACTAAATCAAATATTCTGCTAAACAGAACTCTAATTTGTATGGTTTTTAACTTTTTATTCTGAGGTTTCTTTAAAGCAACTATTCAAAAAATAGACCTTCTCCTGGGCACCTGAAGAAAGTAAATGTGAATTTTGGGGAATGATGAAGTGATCTAAAATTGGGTTGTTGTGATGGCGTCCCAGCTCCATAAATTGTTTTTAATTTTTTAAATCATATTCTTAAATACTATAAAGTATACTTCAATAAAGCTGTTAAAAAAAATAAGCACGAAAATTAGTCAAAGTACTTCTTTTAGTAAACATCTGGTATCAAAACTGCAAAGACATTCTTTATTCCCATATTCTTTTAAGCCATGGTTCTATCTACTACAATCATGATTTACCTACAAGGTCAAAAGCTTTTCCTAGAATTTTGGTAAAAATAATTTAGTAGACTAATGTAGTATCTGTAACATCTTCACTGATGCAGCACTAAGAGATACTGACTCATTTGATTATCTGCATAAATGGCCTACAGATATGTTTGCTTAATTAAGCACAATGTTCTCACCCAAAACCTGTCATTAACTAACCATGGGGTTTTGAGTAAGTTATACATCTTCAGATCTCAGTTTTCCCACCTATATCACGTGTCCCCATGGACCAGATCAGAGTCAAGTAACACACAACATATTAAAAAAACAGTAACTGATATCATCTAATGAATAGCCACTAATATGCCAGCATTTAGGTAAACTATCAACTTATGAGGAAAGTAATATTAGTCACTTTTTTTTACAGATGGAAACTGGAACACAGGGAGGTTCATTAGTCTGACCAAGGTAATACAGTTATTTAGTAGCAGACCTAGGGTTCCAATCCAGAACCATTCAGCTCCAAAACCTATACGAATCCTCAATTCCTCATTAGACTTTGTATTTGACTCAGTCAGATGTGGGCATGAATCCTGACCTTGCCTTTACCATGTTAAGTTAGTCACCTTCTCCGAGTCCAGTTTCTCCACCTGTAAAATGAGATTACTAATATTTAACTCTTAGGGTTGTTGTGAAGATTAAATGCAAGAATGCTTCCCTACAATGAAAAACTGTTTGACAATAGTTGATTATCAAATAAACCCTCCCACAAAATTTCCTTCTTCTGTTAAAAAAAAAAAGAAAAGCTTTTAATAGAGATGCAGACATAGAGAAGGGCCTTGTGGACATGGGGCCGGAAATGGGGGGGAGTTTGGGAGGAGACGGTGGGATGAACAGTGAGAGTAGTATTGACATATATACACCACCAGGTACAAAACGGAGAGCTGGTAGGAAGCCGCTGAGCACACAGGAGCCCAGCTTGGTGCTGTGATGACCCAGGGGGGTGCGATGAGGGAGCTGGTGGGAAAAAGGCTCCAGAAGGAGGATCTATAGGTAGACATATAGCTGGCTCACATATAGCAGAAACTAACACACATTGTAAAGCAGTTATACTCCAATTTAAAGCGGAAAAAAAGCTTTCAGTTCTATGATTGTTTGTAGCCTACCTAGATAAACCTCACTGGTATTGAATTCTACCAAAAAGTGGACACAAATAACACAGCAGCCCTTTGCTATCAGTCCTTGGCTCTGTGATGGAGACTGTCAACAAGAGTGTCAACTTCAAGGGGTGGGCATCTCTCCACAGGAACTGAGCTGAGGTCACAGACTTGTCTCACTCTGCCCTGCAAACAGATGTCTGGGTGACAACTCTTAGTCACTGCAAACAAAGGCGAAAGCCAAACCAGGTGGGAAGTGCTGTATCTCCTTTCTAATCCTCTTGGCCAGCCCATTCCCTAAAACAATACCTTGTTGACCATCACTCAAAATAGCTGGTTTTCCCCAGGATACTATTTTCAACAAATTGCCTTTATTTTGATGATGTTTAATTCTTCCACAAGCAGAAGTCAGTGTTTTCTATAACAGTGATTTGTCAGCAAGAAACCTGTCTAATTCTGTGTATTGGAATATGCACCTTTAAAAGTTTACCTCTAAAGGAACCTGGTGAAAACTGGTGTAATGTGGAGCTCTAGTGGTGGCAAGAAAGTAAAGCAGCCCTCCTGAGAGCCAACAGAAATGCCAAGGAAATCACTTACTTACTTGTTATTATGGTGAAATGGCCATTTATTGTTAAATTAGCTTTAGAAGAAAAACGGTTCCAAATGATCATCCAAGATAATCTCAGGTAAACTCTAAATGTAATGACTTTCTTCCAGATTGCAAATTAGACCTCAACAACCAACTCACATCAAACATCATGAAGCAGTTAAAACCCCTAAAAAACAGAACTCAGGGCTTTGGCTGTCACTTTTCTACTTTTTACCAAGTTCACTGAGAATCTCATTAATTAAATACTAAGTATTTTTCACACAACTAGAGAGAATATTCTCTACAGAAAATGATGCATCTGAGTGGTATGATCAGTGAAGTCCTGTACCAACTGTCTTGGGAATTTAAATAATCCCTACAGGCTGATGAGGTTGTTGTGCGCTAATTCCTGCACTAGAAAAGTGCCTTCCTTGAATTTCTGACTTCTGAGATCTTTCCCAGCTTTAAACAACTAAGAATGAAACATACAATGTAAACATTAATTCTTTGTTTTCCTATTACCTAATTTATATGCCTTCTCAATTGAAAGGGCTTCATTTTCCAAAAATACAGCTCCATTATGGTCGACAATATAGCAAAACATAAACAGTGAAAATCTTATGACATACAATCAGGAGTTGACATTTGAAATTTCTAAACATGGTACCTGGTTTAGCTGTGCCAAAACAAATTATCATGAGGCAAAAACCTCAGAATGTGAAAAAAATATAGGAACTAGTCTTTCCATACAGTGTAAGTAACTAAGTATCATATTCCTGAACATGAAAGAAAATGTAAGCGACTTACTTTCCTATACATGATGATAAAAGAAACTAATATGTTCAGAAATATGTTAACAACATTTATCTGAAACAAAAATCTCAAGACTGATGGGAGTTTTTCATGACTTCTTTCAGCTGAAGCCACTAGATACTTTCCAATGGACATATTCCAAAGGCTTCTAAATTGTAGGTCTACAGAAGTCTGACCACCAAGCCTCAGAGGTCTGCGAAGGAAGATTTAATGATTACCCAGAGATTTTGATTCATTGATGTCTTTCTCCTCCATCCTCTACTAATATAGAAGGAGGTCATTAATATAGTTCCCTAGAGCCACACAGAAAAATGGTAAAAATGTAACAGCCTCTTCTGAAAAGTCATTGAGAACAGAGTAGTTTGTACTGAGAAGCTCAAGATAAAAAACTAATTTCTTTTCAGTCCTCATTGCTATAGGATAGGAGAGAGAACCTTTCTTATAGAAAATAAAAGCAGGCAAAGAAGTGAAGGTGGTTTGCTAACACAATTGTCCGTCAAAGGGAACAAACAGAAATCTGTATTAATGCACTATCAGTCAGTAAGGAATTCAAGTTTAATATGTTCTGCAATCCTTCTCACTATAGATAACAAAAGCAGGTAAAACCAAAGAATAATTTTCAATCTGGGAAACTACGAACTTTGTCTTTGGACATCATCTTGCAGGTATTTTCTTTGATGAAGATCTCTATCTTCTTTGCTTTCCCTTAGCAGACCTTGGTATGCTGCTTAAAATAATATTTGTGGCTTTATCTGCCATTCTTTTACCCAGACATGTTGATTTTATTAAAGTAAGTTGGGTCTGCATTCTTTCTTTACTATTATTACAGGTAGACTTGACAGACATAGGACCTTTGTTTTAAAATGCTCTGCTATGGAGGAAACCTTGTGAAATAAGTTCCATTTTACCTGCCGGGCAATTGCATTCTGAAGGCGCTTCTCTCGCGATTCTTATTTTAGCCATATGTTCATAGGACTTCTGGAGGAAAAGAAGAGGTATTAACAATCATCAGTAGCATTGTAGAGAAATGGATTCTTTAGGGACTGTCTGCCTATATACCTGATTTACCAGCCTGCATAACTAACGTTTACATATGTACTTGGACTCTAGTCAAAAGGTAACAGTACCCAAGCCCTAAAGAAAAGAAAACAACCATTGAGATGGTATCTAGACTGTAAGACTTGCATAACATCATTCTTCATTCTTCAACTACCATCACCCTCCCTCTCAGCTCAGGCATATGCAGTCATTGTATAGAATCAGTATCAACATGCTGCAGTTTTAGGTAAGCTAAGAGTTTTTAAACAACCAATATTTTATACACAAATGTCAACTACTTATCATGCTGTGCTGCCACTACTGCCAAACAACCTCTCTGTTGGAAGAGCAAGTCCCAGAAAATCCCCTAACTGTAGTCAAAAGCACTCCTGGTTTTGATGAACATAACACAGATTCCTTTCAACTCTCAACTCCAAAGGCTCTGCATTCACCAACACCGGTGGCACTGCATCCTTTACAAAAAATAAATAAACAAGGCGACTATTTTTTCCTTTTTAAACATTTAACACAAAAACATTCAATGTGTGAAGTAATAAAATCACATGTAGCTATTTCATTTTTAAGAGTGGTTTCCATCCGTATCGCTATGTTAATAACATAAATGACCCTAACCTTCTTATACTGTATGAAGAATCTAACAGATGTTGTCTCTGCAAGGAATATTCTCCACAACATTAGGAAAGGTCCACACACAGCTTCAGAAACTAAAAAGAGCTAAAATACCAGCCTAGGAGCCATTCTAGCCACCTTTCTCCCTTTTAGACTTCCATATGTGTTTAGCATGCAAACATTAAGAAGAGTAAGGGGAGATGATACAGAGAGGGTGGTATGAGAGGATGTGCATATACAAATATATGCTACAGTAAGCAGAGATGGTGGCCTAACATATATGTGTACACAGGCCATGCCACATCTGCACATAGTAAGGTAGAGGTTGGTCATTCTGTAAGGTTACAGAATCGCGACTGTAAGATGTTATCCACGTACAAAACACCCCAGCCTTTCACACCTGAGCCAGAAGTCGCTCCACTTTCTCTTGCACCATAGCTTTGAGCTGATCCACACAATCAGGCAGCAGACGGATGGAAGGGTCTCCTTTGGCAGACTCGAGGGCAGCGATCCTCGCCTGGAGGTCGTTGGTTTTCACGCCCAGGTACAGACAAGAACTCACGGCCACCACAGACAGGAGGGTGGCCAGGGCTGCGCACAGGGACACGGGGCGGGCACAAGGCTGCCCGGCTGGGCTCCGGTCCTCTGAGCCCGGCTCCTGGCCCCCTCCTTTCACCGCTTGCTTCTTCACCAGCATCGTGGCGGGGTCGGCTGTCTTGGCTTCGCCTCCCACCCTCTAGCACTTCCAAAAATCTTAAAAGAAAAAGGATGATTCCTGCAAAGTTCCGTCCCGATGGCTGCACAACTAGTTGGCGGAGTCGGAGCCGGAGCGCAAGGATGGATCAGCGCCGAGAACCGCAGACCTGGACCATCCTCCGCTTTCTTCTCCCCTCCCAGCTGCGAGGGAAAAGCACCCTCAGTCCGCGGACCGGTGGCGATAAGGTAAAATCCAGAGTGAAACCCACCCCCCGGTGTCCCTCCTGCCCCCTCCGAGGACCGGGACCCCCTCCGGAAAGAGCGGCCGCGCGGGGTCCCGGGGACAGCGGCAGAGGCGCTGCGAGGGGCCGCCGCTGACCCTTGCCACAGAGCACCGGACCTGTTGCGCCTCTGTTAGTTTGCCTCGTTTCTACCTATTCGGTGTTTTATCTCCGTTTCCCACCTAGATTCAGTTCCAGGCAAAAAGGCTGAGACAGACCGCGAGAGCGCAGTGCAAAAAGGGTGGCCAAGTGGGGAAGAGCAGAGAGGAGAAAGAAATACCCAAGGAGAAAACGCTAGTCGCGAGGCCCCAGTCGCGGCCGCCCGAAGTATCTCCGCAGCCCGGCGTGTGCGAGCCTTAAATACCCTTCGGGATGCTCGTGTGTGAGTGCGCGCGCGCTCCGATGAGCGGCGTCCCTCCCCCGACCCACTCCCGGCGAGCGGCCTGCAGCCCGCGGCTCCCGCGGCAGCGCGCCCCCCTTGCCGAGGCAGGCAGAAGCCCGCCTTATTAGCATAATATATTCACCTTCGCCCAGCCCGTGGGCGGGGCCTGGGAGAGCCCCGGAGGGGCGAGCCGCTGGGCCGGGAGCTGAGCCGGAGGTCTTTTATTAGCATAATAGATGCAAATAACTGGAACTGCCAAGGCGATTGGAGAGCAGCTTGGCGAACCCTCCCTCTTTCTCCGAGTAACTTCAGCGTCCCCCAAGGCCAGTTCGCCCCGCCTGGGCTGGGGGCCGAAGCAGGGTCGGCAGTTGGGGGATGGCGATCCTGGCTTGTTCTGACTCGGCGCGGTGCCCCCTCTTTATCCCGGTTAAATGTGGAGAAATGGCCTCCAGGAGGGAAGAGGGGGAAGCAGAAAGCTCTAGCGCTCTAGGTCTTCACTCGGAAGCAGTGGCGGGAGCTCCGGCGATCCCGTCTTGGTGCAGAGCCTTTTTCCCTCCTCCCTCACCTTCCCACATGCCTGGAGGCCAAGTGTCTGGCTGACGCCTGAAGTACGCTTCCCCACTTCCCTTCTCTTCCCACGGCCGCATTGCCGTCTCCGACTAGGGAGGTTTTCTCTCCCCTCCCCCAGTTTCCTTCTGTCTTGATGGGGTTGAGTCTCTCCGCCCCGAGTTCCTAATCTGTACTAGGGTGCTAATGCATTTTCCTGATTCCCTGTTTTGTGGGACCAAAGAAGGGAGTGTTGAGGTACACACATTTCTCAGAATTTCGGAAAGGACTGAAGAATGAGGTCAACTTTTCCTTTTACCTGTCTCCTCCTGCTGATCCCTCTGGATCAAATTACAAGTTCTCCAGGGGGCTTTTTGAAAGTAGGTAACAAGTAGCAGTCTATATCTAATCGACTTCAAAGCAAAAAACAATTCTACCTCTTACTCCAAACAGTTGCTTCTTATCTCCTCCCCACGAGAAATACAATATCATGTTTTTCATATCCTTCTTAATCAAGCTTAATCGGCAAGTTGTTGCTCACTCATGTAAACAATCGACAAAATAGTAAACTGATATGTTATAAATGTAAACAGGGTATTGCTAGATACAGTGGCTTCCCAGGTGGCTCAGTGGTAGAGAATCTGCCTGCCAATGCAGGAGTTAAAAGTTCCATCCCTGGGTGGGGAAGATCCCTTGGAAAAGGAAATGGCAACACACTCCGGTATTTTTGCCTGGGAAATCCCATGGACAGAGGAGCCTGGTGGGTTACAGTCCATGGGGTTGCAGAGTTCGACAGGACTGAATGACTGAATTACAACATTACTAGGCATAAAACAGGGTAGAGATATTTCAACAACATTGCTGATGGAGGACACAACTTTGAAAAAATTAGGGTATAAAACACAAATCAGGAAAACAATGAATTCTGCTGTAACATCAAAAGCCTAATTCCTTACATTTGTATTACACAATAGATTACACAGTAGTTCTCACAGAGGGGCTCCAGACTTGAAACATCAGTATCTTCTGAGATCTTATGCAAAATTCAAATTCTAGGCCTTCACCCACCATCTAGAGCTTCTCAGGTGGTGCTAGTGGTAAAGAACCTGCCTGCAGTGCAGGAGATCTAAGAGATATGGGTTTGATCCCTGGATGGGGAAGAGCCTCTGGAGGAGAAAATGGCAACCCACTCCAGTATTTTTGCTTGGAGAATCCCATGGACAGGAGGAGCTTGGCAGGCTACAGTCCATGGGGTCTCAAGGAGTTGAACACACCTGAAGGGACTTTTCGTGCACCCAACATCTACTGACTCAGAAACTACTATTATTAGTAATAATCAGAAACACTGCAATCTGTATTTTAACACATCTTCCTAATGATTTTGAGGCACACTAAAGTTTGAGACCACTGGAGTAACAATTTGCAAAATATTTTCAAATACACTTTTTCATTTAAATCTCATAATCATGTGATGCAAGGAAGAAATTATTGGCTCCATTTTAGATATAAGGAAACAATTTTCAAGTCACATTTAGCTTTGACTAAACATGCTTCTGTATTCTTGCTTTGAGAACCCCATGAACAGTATGAAAAGGCAAAAAGATAGGACACTGAAAGATGAACTCCCCAGGTCAGTAGGTGCCCAATATGCTAGCAGACATCTGAGGAGAAATAACTCCAAAAAGAATGAAGAGACAGATCCAAGCAAAACCAGCACCCAGTTGTGGATGTGACTGGTGATAGACGTAAAGTCTGATGCTGTATTGCATAGGAACCTGGAGTGTTAGGTCCATGAATCAAGGCAAATTGGAAGTGGTTAAACAGGAGATGGCAAGAGTGAACATCAACATTTTAGGAATCAGAGAAGTAAAATGGACTGAAATGGGTGAATTTAACTCAGATGACCATTATATCTACTACCGTGGCCAGGAATCCCTTAAAAGAAATGGAGTAGCCATCATAGTCAACAAAAGAGTCCAAAATACAGTACTTGGATGCAAGCTCAAAAACAACTGAATGATCTCTGTTTATTTCCAAGGCAAACCATTCAATATCACAGTAATCCAAGTCTATGCCCCGACTTGTAATGCTGAAGAAGATGAAGTTGAACGGGTCTATGAAGACCTAAAAGACCTTCTAGAACTAACACCCAAAAATATGTCCTTTTCATTATAGGGGACTGGAATGGAAAAGTAGGAAGTCAAGAAATACCTGAAGTAACAGGCAAATTTGGCCTTGGAGTACAGAATGAAGCAGGGCAAGGCTAATAGAGTTTTGCCAAGAGAATGCACTGGTCATAGCAAACACCCTCTTCCAACAATACAAGAGATGACTCTACACATGAACATCACTAGATGGTCAATACTGAAATCAGATTGATTATATTCTTTGCAGCCAAAGATGGAGAAGCTCTACACAGTCAGCAAAAACAAGACCAGGAGCTGACTATGGCTCAGATCATGAACTCCTTATTGCCAAATTCAGACTTAAATTGAAGAAAGCAGGGAAAACCACCAGACCATTCAGGTTATGACCTAAATAAAATCTCTTACGATTATACAGTAGAAGTGACAAATAGATTCAAGGGATTAGATCTGATGGAGAGAATCCCTGAAGAACTATGGACAGAGTTTCCTGACATTGTACAGGAGGCAGGGAGCAAGACCATCCCCAAGATAAAGAAATGCAAAAAGGCAAAATGGTTGTCTGAAGAGACCTTACAAATAGCTCTGAAAAGAAGAGAAGTGAAAGGCAAAGGAGAAAAGGGAAAATATACCCATTTGAATGCAGAGTTCCAAAGAATAATAAGAAGAGATAAGAAAGCCTTCCTCAGTGATAAGTGCAAAGAAATAGAGGAAAACAATAGAATGGGAAAGACTAGAGATATCTTCAAGAAAATTAAAGATACCAAGGGAAAATTTCATGCAAAGATAGGCTCAATAAAGGGCAGAAATGATATGGACCTAACAGAAGCAGAAGATATTAAGAAGAGGTGGCAAGAATACACAGAAGAATTGTACAAAAAAGATCTTCATGACCCAGATAACCACGATGGTGTGATCATTCACCTAGAGCCAGACATCCTGGAATGTGCAGTCATGTGGGCTGTAGGAAGCATCACTATGAACAAAGCTAGTGGAGGTGATGGAATTCTAGTTGAGCTATTTCAAATCCTAAAAGTTGATGCTGTGAAAGTGCTACACCCAAAATGTCAGCAAATTTGGAAAACTGAGCAGTGGCCACAGGACTGGAAAAGGGCAGTTTTCATTCTAATCCCAAAGAAAGGCAATGCCAAAGAATCCTCAAACTACTGCACAATTGCACTCATCTCACACACTAGCAGAATAATACTCAAAATTCTCCAAGCTAGGCTTCAACAGTACATGAACTGAAAACTTCCACATGTTCAAGCTGGATTTAGAAAAGGCAGAGAAACCAGAGATCAAATTGCCAATGTTCACTGAATCAACAAAAAAGCGAGAGAGTTCCAGAAAACATCTACTCCTGCTTTATTGACTATGCCAAATCCTTTGAGTGTGTGGATCACAATAAACTGTGGAAAATCTTTCAAGAGATGGGAATACCAGACCACCTGACCTGCCTCCTGAGAAATGTGTATGCAGGTCAGGAAGCAACAGTTAGAACTGGATATGGAACAACAGACTGGTTCCAAATTGGGATAGGAGTACGTCAAGGCTGTATATTGTCACCTGTTTATTTAACTTATATGCAGAGTACATCTTGAGAAATCCTGAACTGGATGAAGCACAAGCTGGAATCAAGATTGCCAGA